AAAAAAAAAATAAAAAATAAAATTTAAGGAAAGAAATCAAGTAAGTTCACTTTACAATAAGAATTGGTTCATTTCTCCAAGACTCTGCAACAATTCTAAATTTGTTTCAACTGATAGGTTGGTAGATAGATAGATTAGATAAGATAGATAGTTGGGTAGGTAGATAGATAGATAGCTGCTGTTGACTTTACTCCAACTCATGACAATCTTAAGTGTAACAGAATGAAATGTTGCCCAGTTCTATGTCATCCTCTCAATTACTGGCATGTCTGTCTATCACTGTGCCAGTTCATCTCACTGAGGGTCTCCCCCACCCTTCCTGGTCCTCTACTTCAACAAACTTGATGCCCTCCTCTAGCAATTGATCACTTTTGATGACATGTCCAAAGCAGTCAGTTGGACAATGTTCTCTTGTGACCCATAGGTTTTCACTGGGTTATATTTGGAAGTAAATCACCAGGACATTCTCCCTAGTTTATCTTAATTTGAAACCTCAGCTAAAATCAGCCCACCATGGGTGACACTGCTGGTACTTGAAATAGCAGTGGTTTAGCTTGCAGCATTGTACCAATTTGCAAGCTGTCATAGTACAGCAAAAGGACAGCTGGGTAAAGCAAACATTAAAAGAACCATAAGAAAAATAGGCAAATCTAGTCAGAGTGAAAAATTTTAACTATAACTCATAGTTATAGTTATATAGTTATAGTTAACTATAACTCAGAGAACAAGCAGATAAAAATTAGTAAGAAGAGAGAAAATTTTTTAAAAATGATCAACAAATGAACTTAATGGGCATATGGAACATTGCAGTCTAGACATGCAGCTTACACATTCTATCCAAGCACATAGAGAACATTTCCAGGATTTATTATTAATAAGCAACAAATCAAGTTTCAATAAATGTTAAAAGACTGAAACCACAGAGCATATTACCTGACCAAAATGCTATTAAGCTAGAAGTCAATAATTAAAGCTAGTTTGAACATTCTTATATTTCTGGAAATTTGGAAATATACTTCTAAACTAACCATAGGTCAAAGAAGATATCAAAGTTGAAAAACATGATGCATTGATGAAAGATTTTCTTTTGAAATTGGAAAGATGACAGCGGTGTCTGTCTTCCATCTCCACTGGAAAAGACAGTAGTATTGGAAAAGAAAAATATAATTATTTTCAGGTAATATATTATGTACTTAGAAAATCCAAAAGCATCTGTAGACACATTATGAGAATTTTTTTGAAAAATGGCATAATTACTGGAATTAAAGTTAGTATATAAAACCAATTGCATTTCTCTACACCAGCAACAAACATGTTGTGAAATACTTTTAAATACTCTTTGTTGTGGCATCAAAATAAATCTATCAAAGATATACAAGATTTAGATAAATAAAATTATAAAATAGCATTATGATAAATTTTTTTGAAAAACCAAACCCACTGCCATCAAGTCAATTCTGACTCCTAAGCACCCCCATAGGGTTTCTGAGGCTGTAAATCTTTATGGGAGCAGACTGCTAATCTTTCTCCAATGGAACAACTGTATGTTCAAACCACCAAACTTCCGGTCAGCAGCGGAAGGCCTTACCAAATCACCACCAGAGAGCCAATGATAAGTTTTAAGTCACCTAAATAAGTGAACACCTAAGTAAGTGAACACCATGTTCATGAATTGGAAAACTCAATATTCTAAAGTTGCCAGTTCTTTCCAAATTGATCTATAGATCCAGTATAATCCCAACCTGTTAATGTGTGCATGTGTGTGTGTGTGTGTATAAGCTGACAAACTGATCCTAAAAGTTATATGAAAATGCAAAGAGCCAAAATAGCCAAGACTATGTTGATGAAGAGCTAAGTGAGAGAAATTCTATATCGAATATCAAGATGTACTTTAAAGCCACAGTAATTAGGATAGTTGTATTTTTTATATGTGTGTATATGCTAAAGCAAGAATAAACAACCAGACCAATGGAGCAGAACTGAGGGCCTAGAAATAGACTCAAACATACACAAGAATTTGTTTTATGGCAAAAGTGATACTGCAATGTAGTGGGGAATGTTTCATCTTTTCATCAAATGGTGCTAGGTAATCAGATATCCATAAGGAACAAAAAGAAAGGAAAAAAAAAAAAAAAAAACTTGATGAAAATTCAATTGTATCTGAATTGTGGACCTAAATGTAAAAAACAAAATTATAAAACATAATTTGGGCGAATGTGTTAAGAAGAGATTTCTTAAACAAATGAAAAATAAATGATAAATTGGAATACATTAAAATTTAAAACTTCTGTTCATCAAAAGACACCATTAAGAGAATATAAAGATGAGTCAAAAAGTAAGAGAAAATATTTGCAATACATATATTGAACAAAGGACCCTGTCCAAAATGTGGAAAGAATGACTACAAATCAATAAGCAAGATACACAATCCAGTAGATAAATGAGCAAGAGCCTTGAATAGGCAACTCACAAAAGAGAATGTCCAAATGGCCAATAAACATAGGAAAAGATGCCTAGTTTCATCGTTCATTAGGGAAATGCAAATTAAAATCAAAATTATATACATCTTTCAGATAGCACTAACATTTAAAAGACTGACAATATCAAGAGTTAGGAGTGATATGGAATAATGGAAACCTCATAAATTGCTGATAAGAATGTAAAATGCTATAATCATTTTAGAATACTGTGGTATTAATATTTAAAACTATACATATCCTGTCACTCAAAATTTCCACTCCTAGGTTTTTACCCAATGGAAATTCATACATAATGGGACAAAACTCAAAATCTCACACACACACACACACACACACAAAACACCAAGCTTACTATTTGGATGGAGACGGGTAAAATCCCCAATCCTATGGCACTTATGACTAAGGCCTGGAACTGAACTCAACCTGTGGGTCAATTTTCAGCCAAACAATAGATAGGTCTATAAGGTGAACAATAACACTAGGGAGGTATACACTCCTTAGAAGAATCAACCATTCAAGATCAAAAAACACAGCATTTACCCAAGGGCAAAGTTCAGAAGGTAAGAGGGTTAGGAAAGAAGAAAGAATGGAAATGGAAAACACAGGGAGGAAGTGGGATGAGTGATGGTATGTTGTGGGGATTGTAGTCAATGACTTGAAACAAAATGTGTATGAACTGTTAAATAGAAAACTTACGTGCTCTGTAAACTTTCACTCAAATCACAATCACAAGAAAAAAAATGCATGCATAAGTGAATCAATAAGCATATATAAAAAATTTTTCATTGTTATTCATAATAGCCAAAACCTGAAAACAATCTAAGTGCCCTCAACAGTAGAATGGATAAATAAATCTTGATATAGTAATAAAATGGAATTTTCTACATCAATGAGAATGAATTAATACAGCTACACAGGAACATGAATAAACGAGATACAAAGGAGAATATACTGTAATATTTCAATTATCTAAAGTAAAAAAAAAAAAAAAAAAGCAAAGCTAGACTATAGTATTTGGGGATGTATATTTAGGTGATGAGACAACAAAGAAAACCATGAAAATAGGAGATTGATCAGCATTTTGAAAGAATAATTGATTTATTATTAGGTTCGAAGTATATTTCTCTTACCACAACGACTCCTGTCTCCTTTGCCTGTACTTACCTGCAATCTTTACTCCAACCAACAGAATTTTTTGTACTTTCCAAAGTTCATCATCATCTTTCACATTTTCTCTCATGTTAAATTTGATAACATGAAGTGCCTCATAGGCTTAAACATAAAACTTTTTCCTCTGTCTAAAACTAAAACGTATCCAATGGCGTCTCCTGGAGAGGCCCCTGATCCCTTTTGCTGGAGTGCTCCCTGGTGTCCTGTTCCTTCTCTGATATCCACGGGTCTTCCTGGCCCTTTTCTCCCAAACTTCTGATACTGGCATGAGGAAGAAGCAGCAGGCCAAAAGAGGCCATGTAAGGAGTCAAAAGTTTATCAGGATTGGAGTTAGCTTCTGAATCAATCCCTACCTCTGCCCCTTATTCTGATAGTATGACCATAGTATGAACTTACTTCTTTTATTCTCCTTTCCTCCAACTGAGACATGAGGGGCTGTTAGACTAATGTAAATAGATAATGTATGTAAGTGCTCAGCCAGTGATAGATGCTCAATAGAGTAGCTATTATATTTGTGTAATTCTCTATTATTATTTCATGTTTTCATGTATGATGTATGTGTGCTTTACTCCTTCCATAAGAGTCAAGATTCTTGTAAACAGGTACTCTGTCTTTTATTTTCTGTCTCTCATAGTATCTTTGTTGTAACAAGCCTTTCAAATGTTCTGTCTGATGAACAGAAGAGTGTAATTTAGTAAATGATTGCACACTTTACCAAAAATTCTGTATTCAGATTCTTTTAAATTGTTAACTTCCTTAGTTGTTTGAGAAACTATTTGATTTTCCAAAGTATCTAATAGAATACTAAACATTGTGATGAAGCTTATGAAATAGTAAACATACTAATGTTTTCACTCCAGATCCGCCAGTGGCATAATCAGGGGCTGCCTCTTGGTCAATATTCAGCAGAAAATGCCATCTTGATCAAGAATGGCCATCAGTGGCCCTTGCTGATCGACCCCCATAAGCAAGCACACAGCTGGATCCGTCAGATGGAAGGGTCCAGACTGCAGGAACTCTCCATCAAGGACAGCAATTACATCAAAAAAATTGAAAATGCTATGAAAACAGGAGGGAGTATCCTGTTGCAGGTATTCAGACAATATGACCTAACTCCCTAATTCCGTGCAGCTCACACATAATGTTATGCGTGCTCAGTATAAAGAGTAAGAATTTTAAGCGACAGGTAACTTTTGCCAGGACAATAATAAGTAAGTAAGTGAAGTGAGTTTTCATGTTAAGTTCTCTCAGAGCTACCTTGAACTGGTGTCCAGATTTGTAATAAGATTTAAATTTTCACAATGCTATGTCTTTTCAATTGCACCTTATTAGTGGTGAGGTAATTTTTAAATTTTGTTATCTATTGGGTTTTTCAGAATCTCCCTGAAACATTACCTCTAAGTTTAAAAGCAATTTTGAAGAAGGATATCTATAAGAAAAGAGGACAGTATTTCATAAGGATTGATGATTCTGAGACTGAATACAATTCCAAATTTAGGTAATGTTTCTCACATTCATATTGAGTAAGACAACATTGAATGCCCAGTATTTCAGTCCTGTACTCAAATGCAGTCTACACTCGTGCCTCTAGGAGAAAGTCAGATTGCATTTTGAATGTTCTTTTGGGTATTTTGTTTGTCACAGTCATCAGTATACAGACTAGAGAACAAAATTGTTATTTATCAGTTCACTGCAAGCCAGTATTTCTCAGCCTGTGACCCATGAATCGTTATAAGTTGCTTGAAGACTCTTCAGGCAGGAAGCCCTGGCCCCAGTTTATCCAGAGAAATTCTGATTGCTCTGTTTGCCTAACATTTTATTGGTAGGGTAGGGACAGGGTAGGAGTTTCTGCTGCTTTAAAAAAAAAAAAAAAATCATGTTTGATACCAGAGAGTGAAAAGCCTGGGGAGATAAAAACATTGTATCCGTATTCCCAGGAGTAACAGGTTGCCTAGAAACTGAATCCCACCAGCCAACTTCATAAAGTACCATTCTATAGTCCAATTTAATTACCACCAAGATACCATTCCCAAAAAAATAAGACATTTGACTTGTCTGGTCATGTACATCTCTGCCTATGGGAAGGGCCAAGAGAAAATCCATTCATAATCAGAGGATTGCTGGGTGAGCAGGTGATCAGCAAGGGCAATTAGGTCCCAGCCCATTGCATGTAGTTTTTCACAAAGAGTCTTACAGATCTACTGTTTACCAAGGGGTCTTGACTCTTAAATCTGTTGCCCAGTGTATATTTTCCCCTGGACAAAGCTACTGAGTCTCTCATCAGATTATTACTTCTTAGAATTCTGTCTTCCAGCCTCCATAAAGCATGCTCCAAAGTGTGTTCCTCCAAGCATCATTTCCAGGGATTTAATTGGTGTCACTCAGAAAATGAATCCCATGGTTTTTAAAAGCCCTGGGTTAAACAAAGTAAAACAGGGTTCTTTGATGGCCTTCAAAACTCTATTAGTCGTTGTCAGTGAAAGCAAACATGGGAATAGGGACGGATAGATAGGTGAACAAGCTAAACAATTAGGTATGTCTAAATGGAGAGTGTATCCAAGATCATATATAGGGTTGGCAGACAATGGGCCTAAGTTCATGTGAATGATCAGAACTCCCAGGTGTATAGTAGAGCTGACAAGGGGCAAGGTTATGGTCATTGCTTGGTCACAGCCAACTACCCAGAGGGACTGAGTAGTTGATCCTGTGGGCTTGGGACCATAGTCGCAGGGGACGTCAAGCTCAATTGGCATAACATACTATATAAAACATTGTTCCACCTACTACTTTGGCGAGTAGTGACTGGGACCTTAAAAGCTAGGAAGCTGCCATCTAGATGCAACAATGGGTCTTTCCTCGTCAAGAAGAAAGAAGAAAATCAAAATTAATGGAAACAATCAGTCCTAGTGACTGGTACACCATCCAATCTGCAACCTATACAACTATGAGACCAGAAGAACTAGATGGTGCCCAGCTACCACTGCCATCCACTTGGAAGGGATGTAGGAGATCCTGCATAGAGAGGGAGAACAATGTGGAACAAAACTCAAAATCATTTGGAGGCAAAAAAAAAAAAAAAAGAAGGGGGGGACCAGGTTTGCTGGTCCAATAGAGCCTGGTGTAACCACTGAGACTATGGCCCCTGGCTGCCCTTCAGGTCTGGAATTGAACCCACAACTGTGGTTTCCAGCCAAACAAAGTACAGGCATGTGAGTTAAACATTTACCTCAAGTAGACACATGCCCTGGAGAGAACAATCATGGGAGAAGGAAGGGCTGCTTATGCACAGGGAGATAGCTCAGGGTGCAGAAGAGTATGAAGGGATGGACACTGGGAGGAGGTAACTATGGGGAGGAAGTGGGAGGGGAGCTGCTGCATTGTAAATTTTGGTCAATGACATGAGACAAAGTATATGTGAACTGCTGTATGAAAAGTGAATTTACTCTGTAAATCTTCACCTAATAAAAAGAAAGAAAGAAAGAAAAATAAACGTATCAATGATCATGGAAAAAAAAAAAAATCTCTATTAGTCAATGAGCCCTCTCCAGAAAATAGTATTCTACAAAATACATGTTGGGAAATGCCATATTAACCCATTCTTTTTTCTCACTGAATACAATATCGTTGATTAAACATCATCTCTAGAAATGCTAATGAAGTTACATTCGCCTGCACTGACAACCTGGTTCTCCTATTTGAAATAGTGTTGTTTGAGGAGACCGTGGAGGGCATTGTTTTAGAGGGTAGACTTGGTGACAGATCCCCAACACTTTCACTTTCTGGCCATGTGATACTGGCAACTTATTTGAGAGTGAGGAATACTCCCTGCTTTATTGGGTTGCAATGAGGACTAACAGTTTGTCATACAGTATGGGCTTACATGCTGAAAGCTATACCAATGGTATTTCAAATACCAGTAGGATCACTTACAGACAGAGCTTACAGACAAAGACAAAGTAGGAAGAAAGGCCTGATGATTTACTTCCAAAAATTAGCCAATGAAAACCCTTATGAATCACAACAGAACATGGTCCAATTTGCTTGCTTTGGATGTGGTGTTGTTGTTGTTGTTAGGTGCCATCGAGTTGGCTCTGACTCATAGTGACCCTATGTGCAACAGAATGAAACACTGGCCGATCATGCACCAGCCTCATAATCCTTGCTATACACGGCCCCATCACTGCAGCCACTGCATCAATCCATTTCGCTGAGGGCCTTCCCCTTTTTCACTGACCCTCCACTTTACCAAGCATGATATCCTTCTCCAGGGAATGGTCCCTTCTGACAACATGACTGCAAAAGGGGTAGGGAAGCAGCATCTTCTGACCTCCTCTAACTACACAGGAGAAGGACAGAATCACCATAAGCAGCCCAAGGCTTTTCTTATGAGGCCAGACATGCTGCCACCCTCCAGCCCTCTTACCAACCTCAGCACCAACCGTTCCTCCTGTGGCACCAACCACATCTCTGCTGGGTTCAATAATTCACAGCAGTGACCACACAGAACTCACAGATTATGGGGTTTATTAGGGAAGCAACAGGCTATAATTCAAGTTCAGGAACACACTCAACCTCTCTCAGCTGGCTGTCTCACTCAGCAGCCGGCCATCTGTCTCAGACTCTCTCAGCAGTGCATCTCTTTCAGCAGCACGTTTCTCTCAGCTGGCAGTCAGAGAGACTCCTTCTGCCTCTAGAAGGGCTCCTTTTGAGCCTGGCAAAGTGATCAAAACCAACCAATCCCAACATCAGAGTTCTACACACCTGAGAGAGAGCAAACTTCCCAGAAAATTACTTCCTGCTGCTCCCAACAGAAATGCGCCAGGTGGATAACTTTAACAATCAGAACTATGCAGTTGCTCACAGCAAATTCCACCAGAGTTCTGGTGGCGTAGTGCCTAAGGCATTTGACTGCTAACTAGAAGACTGCTGGTTCAAACCCACCAGCCACTCCTTGGAAGGAAGATTGGGCAATCGACTTCCATAGAGATACTGCCTCAGAAACCCAAGGAGGGCTCACTATGAGCTGCAATTGACTCGACAGCAGTGAGTTTGCTTTTTTGGTTTTCATGGCTAGAAAAGCCACATCGTATAATTTACTACACCTCAATGACCAAAGTAGGTGAAATAAAGTCTGGCTATTCTTGCTTCCAAGGAGCATTCCGGCTGCACTTCTTCCAGGACAGACCTGTTAATTCTTCTGGCTGTCCATGGTATTTTCAGTATTCTTCACCAACACCATAACTCAGAAGCATCATCTCTTCTTCAGTCTTCCTTATTCCTTGTCCAGCTTTCACATGCACATGAGACAATTGAAAACACCATGGCATGAGTATGACACACCTTAGTCTTCAAAGTGACATCTTTGCTCTTCAGCGCTTGAAAGAATTCTTTTGCAGCAAATTTGTCCAGTGCAATACATCTTCTGATTTCTTGACTCCTGCTTCCATTGGTGTTGATTGTGGAACCAGGTGATATGAAATCTTTGACAACTTCAATCTTTTCTCCATTTATCATGATGCTGTTTATTGTTCCAGTTGTGAGGATTTTTGTTTTCTTTATGTTGACGTGTAATCCATACTGCAGACTGTAGTCTTTAATCTTCATCAGTAAGTGCTTCAAGGCTTCTTCACTTTCAGCAAGCAAGGTTGTGTCATCTCATATTGCAGGTTGTTAATGAGTTTTCCTCTAATTTGGTGTCACGTTCTTCTTTATATAGTACAGCTTCTTGGATTATTTCCTCAGCATACAAATTGAATAAGTATGGTAAAAGGATACAACCCTGACGCACTCCTTTTCTGATTTTAAACCATGCAGTAGCTCCTTGTTCTGTTCAAATGACAGCCTCCATGTACAGGCTCCTCATGAGCACAATTAAGTGTTCCAGAATTCTCATTCTTCTCAATGTCAGCCATAATTTGTGATGATCCACATAATCAAATGCTTTTGCATAGTCAATAAAAAGCAAGTAAACATCTTTCTAGTATTCTTTGCTTTCGGCCAAGATCCATCTGATATCAGCAATGATATCCCTCATTCCACATCCACTTCTGAATCCAGCCAGCAGTCAGAGAGACTCCTTCTACCTCTAGAAGCTCTCTGTCTATATATTGCTCCAACCATTTTTGAATTATCTTCAGTAAGATTGTACTTGCATGTGATATTAATGATATTGTTCAATACTTTCCACATTCTGTGGGATCATCTTTCTTTGGAATGGGTACAAATATGGATCTTTTTGAGTCAGTTGGCTGTAGCTGTCTTTTGAATTTTTTGGCATGGCACAAGTAAGTGCCTCCAGCACGGCACCTGTTTGTTGAAACATCTCCATGGGTATTCTGTTATTTCCTGGAGTTTTGTTTTTCAGCAATGCCTTCAGTGCAGCTTTGATTTCTTCCTTCAATTGTTCTTGATCATATGCCTCATTCTGAAATGGAAGAATATTGACAAATTCTTTTTGGTACAGTGACTCTGTGTTTTCTTCCATCTTCTCTTGATGTTTCCTGCATCATTCAATATTTTGCCCATAGAATCTTTCAATATTGCAACTCTTGGCTTGCATTTTTTTCTTCAGTTCTTTCAGCTTGAGAAATACCAAATGTGTTCTTCCCTTTTGGTGTTCTAACTCCAGATCTTTGCACACTTAATCATAATATTTTACTTTGTCTTCTCAAGCTGCTTTTTGAAATCTTCTGTTTAGCTCTTTTATCTTGTCAATTCTTCCATTTGCTTTAGCTACTCTCCATTCAAGGGCAAGTTTCAGAGTCTCTTCTGACATCCACTTTGGTCTTTTCTTCCTTTCCTGTCTTTTTAATGACCTTTTGTTTTCTTCATGGATGATGTTCTTGATGGCATCCTACAATTCATCTGGCTTTCAGTCACTGGTGTTCAATGCATCAAATCTATTCTTTAGATGGTCTCTAAACTCAAGTAGGATATAATCACAGTCATATTTTGGCTCTCATGGATTTGTTTTAGTTTTCTTCAGCTTCAACTTGAACTTGCATATGAGCAGTTGATAGTCTGTTCCACAGTCAGCTCCTGGCTTTGTTTTTGCTGAAGATATTGACCTTTTCCATTGTCTCTTTCCACAGATGTAGTTGATCTGATTCCTGTGTATTCCATCTGGCAAAGTCTACGTGGATAGCCGTTGTTTGTGTTGTTGAAAAAAGTATTTGCAATGAGTAAGTTATTGATCTTGCAACACTCTATCATGTGGTGTCCAGAATCATTTCTATCACCAAGGCCATATTTTCCAACTGCTGGTGATTCTTCTTTATTTCCAACTTTTGCATTCCAGTCACCAGTAATAATCAGCACATCTTGATCGAATGTTTCATCAATTTCAAACTGCAGAAGTTGGTAAAAATCTTCAATTTCCTCATCTTTGGGTTTAGTAGTTGGTGCATAAATTTGATTAATAGTAATATTAACTGTTTTTTCTTGTAAAAGCTTGCTTTTGAGTTGGTTCTGATTCATAACAACTCTCCTTGGGTTTCCAACAAAATATCTCTATGGAAGTAGATTGCCCAGTTTTCCTTCCTAGGAGTGGCTGGTGGGTTTGAACCACCAGACTTCTGGTTAGGAGTCAAATTGCTTAGGCACTGTGCTACCAGAGCTCTTATTCTTCCTTGTAGGCATATGGATATTATCCTGTCACTGACAGCATTATACTTCAGGACAGATCTTTAAACATTTTTCTGTGACAATGAATGCCATGCTATTCCTCTTCAATTTGCCTTTCCCAGAATAGTAGATTATATGGTTGTCTGGTTCAAAATGACCAAAGCCACTCCATTTCAGCTCACTAATGTCTAGGATATTGATCTTTATGTGTTCCATTTCATTTTTGACAATTTCCTATTTTCCTAGATTCATACCTCATACATTCTATGTTCTAATTATTAATGGATGTTTGCAGCTATTTCTTCCCATTTTGAGTCATGTCACATCAGCAAATGGAAATCCCCAAAGCTTTACTCCATCTCCATCATTAAGGTCAACTCTACTATGAGGAATCAGCTCTTCCCCAGTCATATTTTGAGTGCCTTCCAACTGTGGGGCTCATCTTCCAACCCTGTATTTGGCACTGTTTCAGGGCTATTCATCAAGTTTTCCAGTAATATATCAGACAGTGATTCACTGCTATTCATATGTTTTCACTGGCTTTGGACATAGGATAGACCATGCACTAAAGGAAGACATTACGTTTGGAGAAGTAGACAGCCAAGGAGAGTGACAGAGACCCTTGGTGAAATAGATTAGCACAAAAGTTGCAACAATGAACTTTAGTCCACACCAGTGGTTGTGATGATGCAGCACCAGGTAGTGTTTGGTTCTATTGTATGTGAAGTCTCTTTGAGTCAATTTGAAGGCAGCTAACAACAACAACATGAGGACTAAGGGATCCCTGGATGGTGCAAACAGTTAACTTCCTCACTCTTAACAGGAAGGTTGAAGTTTCAAGTCCATCCAAAAGTGCCTCAGAAGAAAGTCCTAGAGATCTACTTCCAAAACAGCAGCCATTGAAAACCCAATGGAGCACAGTTCCACTGTGATATCCATGTGGTAACCATGATTGGAGTCTACTTGATGGCAATTTTTTAAAATTAATATTATTAAATTAATGAATATTATTAAACAAGATCCTCACCACCCTCAGTGGCACCACCCTGCTCCAAGCCACCATTGTCTCTCACTTTTAACCAGTCTCCTGCTTCCATATTTGACCAGCTACCCCTAGACTTTTCTCAAGATAGTAGCTAGAGATTCCCGGTTTAAAAAGATCATGTCACTCGTCTTCTCACATCCTTCCATCTGACTGGCTTCTCACTCAGAATATAAACCATAGAATTGGCAATGATCTACTAGCTAGTCAAAACACCTACTATTTAGCATTTTTCTTTATCCTTATGCTTCAGCCAAGTATACACAAGCATAATTTATGGTTGTATTTTGTAAAGTCTTAAAAAGAAAATATATTTATGTAGTACAAATTAAGAATGTACTTTGTGTAAAAATGTGGATATCTTTAAAAATTAATTCTGTTTTCCAGGAAAAATAAATTTTCCATTATTAAACAAATTAGTTTTATTTTTTTTCCCTGTACAGTCTTTGAGTAACCAGTGCCTTTCTCATGTTTTAGGTTATACATATCTACAGAAATAGCCAACCCTCATTTTCTTCCATCAGTTCATAACTTTGTTACCATGATCAACTTTACAGTAACATTCCAAGGTTTACAAGATCAACTCTTGTCTACTGTAGTAATGCATGAAGTCCCTCATTTAGAAAATCAACGTTTCAAGTTGCTGGAGAATATTTCCCTCGACACTATAACTCTCGAAGAACTGGAGGAAAAAACATTAAATTTGTTGCAGAAAACACAAGGTAAGTCAAGATACCAAATAATGTTAAGAGATCTGTGCATATGTTTGAAAAGGAGAGAATAAAAAGTTTATAAGGAAACATTCTGGACTGGTACCAACAATACAGACCTCCATATCCACCAGATGATTAATTAGTATAGGTGATTCTCTCCATGTCTAAAAGTAAAATATTGTACGTTTTTATGCTCCTCAGTTTCTGTCTTTGCTTAAGCTCATCATGTCATGGAACATTTGCCAGCACAGTCAGTATAAATCTTACAGGCTCTATACTTCTACTTCAGGTACAAGATATAGATAGATAGATAGATAGATAGATAGATAGATAGATATAGATAGATAGATAGGCATATATATATATGTATAAAGTACATATATAGATAGACATAGATATAGATATAGAGATAGATAAAGTTATATTTCAGAGACTGATAGATTAGACTTTCCCCAAGTATTAGTAACTGAAAGAGCTTATAATAGGGCACAATCTATTGATTGATAAACTTAAAATATGCTGTTAAATGTTTTAATGTTTATTAAAATAGCAGTAGAAACTATTTGCTGCTTACCACAAGAAATGTTTAAGAAACACAGATTTTAGACAACTAAATATACCTAGCCCACCACTGTCAAGTTGATTCTGATTCTTTGCAACCCTACAAGACAGAGTAGAAATGCCCAATAGGGTTTCCAAGACTTTAATCTTTATGGAAGCAGACCACTATGTCTTTCTCCCACGGAGTGACTGGTGGGTGCAAACTGCCAGCCATTCAATTAGAAGCTGAGTGCTTTAATCACTGCACCACAAGGGCACCTAACTAACTCTAGAGAAACATAAATTCCTGAAGTACACTGATACACCTCCCCCTAACTCAACTGTGATAAAATGCACATTAAGTCATTAAGACTATCAAAAGCTGAGAGTTCCGGCAAGATGGCAGACTAGGCACAAGGAGACACATGGAGCTGCCGAGGAGGGTTGGGCAATCCTACTTCCGTAGTAATACTGCCTCGAAAACCCAAGGAGGGGTCGCTATGAGTCGGGGCCGACTCAACGGCACATAACAACAACAACAACCACCACTCAGGAATCTCCAAGCCGTGTCCTCTGTGCCGTCAGGGTCGCTCAGTCCGCTGCCAGACTGCAGCTCCATGTGTCTCCTTTCTTGGTATTTTCACACAAATTCTTCTGCTAGTTGGGGTTTAGTCCACTTTTGTATCCTTCCCTTCAAGGCTCAGGGGTCCAAGATTATCTTCTGTGTCTGTGTTAATTGGTTTCCCTTTTCTTTGTTGAAGAGCGTCTGTGCAGTCCTTGTGCCTAGTCCGCCATCTTGCCGGAACTCTCAGCTTTTGATAGTCTTAATGACTTAATGTGCATTTTATCATAGTTGAGTTAGGGGGAGGTGTATCAGTGTACTTCAGGAATTTATGTTTCTCTAGAGTTAGTTAGGTGCCCTTGTGGTGCAGTGATTAAAGCACTCAGCTGCTAATTGAATGGCTGGCAGTTTGCACCCACCAGTCACTCCGTGGGAGAAAGACATAGTGGTCTGCTTCCATAAAGATTAAAGTCTTGGAAACCCTATTGGGCATTTCTACTCTGTCTTGTAGGGTTGCAAAGAATCAGAATCATCTTGACAGTGGTGGGCTAGGTATATTTAGTTGTCTAAAATCTGTGTTTCTTAAACGTTTCTTGTGGTAAGCAGCAAATAGTTTCTACTGCTAGTGGTGGTAGGACCTAAGAATTAACCCAAAAATCACCCTACTAGCCAGGGACTGCACGGACTGCACAGTGGCTGGGGAACAAATGAAGAAGGTGAAGAGAAAGGTGGGCTGAGTTGTGGACTTTTGCCGGTCCGGAAGGCACCGCCATTTTGTAGGTTTAAAAAGCAGCTTGACTATTTTGGATATTTAAAGAGACAGTGCTCTCACAGATTCCTGTGGTGGTAGGAATTAAGAATTAACCTAAAAATCACCCTGCTAGCCAGGGACTGCACTGAGGACTGTGCACGATGGCT